GGCAATTGCTCAATAACAGATATCTTTGCCTTGTCAACTTCTAGGCCTTGTTTGGATACTCGATGACCAAGAACAATGCCCTCTTGCACCATGAAGTGACATTTTTCCCAATTCAGAACCAAATTAGTTTCTTCACATCTTTGCAAAACAGCCGCCAAATTATTTAGAAACAACAAAAAAGAATCTCAAAAACAGAGAAGTCATCCATGAACACTTCAATTGTTTTCTCAATCATGTCAGCAAAGATGGCCATCATGCATCTTTGAAATGTTGCTGGAGCATTGCAAAGACCAAATGGCATTCTTTTGAAAGCAAATGTGCCATATGGACAAGTAAAAGGTTGTTTTCTCTTGATCTTCTGGGGCTATTACAATTTGGTTGTATCCTGAATACCCATCCAAGAAACAAAAGAATTCTTGCCCAGCAAGTTTATCCAACATCTGATCAATAAATGGCAGCGGGAAATGGTCTTTTCTGGTTGCTGTATTTAACTTTCGATAATCCATGCAAATTCTCCACCCTGTCACAGTACGAGTTGGAACTAGCTCATTTTGGGTGTTAGCCACTACAGTTATACCGCCTTTTTTAGGGACGCATTGAACTGGGCTCACCCATGAACTATCAGAAATAGGGTAAACTATTCCAGCAGAAAGCCATTTAAGGATCTCTTTCTTGACTACCTCTTTCATAACCGAGTTTAATCTCCTTTGATGCTCAATAGAAGGTTTGTGACCATCCTCTAATAAAATCTTGTGCATACAAACAGAAGGGTTGATCCCTTTGATGTCAGCTATGGACTACCCAATAGCTTTCTTGTGGTGTCTCAAGACCCTTAACAGTTTCTCTTCTTGCAACGTGGACAACTTAGACGAAACAATCACAGGTAAAGCGGTAGAATTACCCAAGTAGGCATACTTGAGATGTGATGGTAAAGTCTTCAACTCCAACACCGGCGGTTCATCCACAGAAGGCTTTAGAGGAGAGCTCAAAGCACTAGTCACATCTAGAGGCTCAAAAGTCTTAGCTTTTCGATACGAAAACGCTTCAATACTCATCATTTCTGCAATAGCTTCAACCTTGCCATCAATCCTACTTGTTTCTCCAATCAACAATGCTTCTAATGGGTCTTTGTTCAAAGAGTTAATCAGCTCCTCTTGCACCGTGGAATCAATCACATCAATACACATCAATACAATTACAGTGAGCAGTATCATCTGGAAACTTCAAGGCTTGATTCATGTTGAATATCACCTTCTCATCATTTACTCGCATGGTGATCTCACCCTTTTCTACGTCAATGAGGGTTCTTGTAGTAGCTAAAAATGGCCGTCCCAAAATAATGGGGATATTCCAATCTACCTCACAGTCTAACACAATGAAAGCTGCTGGGAATATGAATTTGTCTACCTTCACCAATACATCTTCTACAATCCCTTTTGGATATGAGATACTTCTATCAGCAAAGAGCAATGTAACTGTTGTTGGCCTTGCATCACCCAAGTTTAATCGATTGAATACAGCCAGAGGCATCAAGTTAACACTTGCTCCCAAATCACATAGGGCTTTTCCATTGAAGTGTTTGCCTATGTTACAAGGGATATAAAAACTGCCTGGATCTCTCAGTTTGGGTGGGAGTTTTCGCTGCAAGATGGCACTACAATCTTCAGTCAGAGCCACCGTTTCAAATTCACCAAATCTCTTCTTTTTGGAGAGAACATCCTTAAGAAACTTAGCATACTTAGGCATTTGCTCTAATGCTTCAGCAAACAGGATGTTGATATGTAATTGCTTAAACATGTCCACAAATTTCTTGAACTGGACATCTTCATCTTTCTTCTTGAACCTTTGAGGAAATGGAAGCGGTGGCATCTGTGTAGCAAGAGGGGGAGTTGTCTTCCTCTTTTTATCATCAACTGTTTCACCCTCTACCTTCTTTCCTCGAACCACATCAGTGAGATTTTCTTCTATTTGTTTCCTCTTCTTGGTTTCTTCCTCTTCTACTATACCACCTTCTTCTGAAAGCTCATTTGTATCAAGGTCCGTTGCCTTACTGTTAATGGTGTCCTTGCCGGTCTGACTAGGCCTCTGAATGTCAGGTAACTGCTTTCCACTTCTCAAATTGATCGCTTTGCACTCTTCATTACCATCCCTTTTTGGATTGGGAATGGTATCACTTGGTAAGCTGCTTCTTGTGAGTACATTCATTTGTGAAGCCAGTTGACCCATTTACACCTCAAGATTCTTGATGGCAGTTTCATGGAGAGAAAATGTTGCCTTGTTCTCAGCCCTTGCAGATTCTTGATTGGCCAATAATTGAGCAAACATCTTCTCAATTTTAGAATCTTCCTTTTGAGGATGCTGCTGTTGCAATTGATTTTGCTGTGGTTGACCATGAAAACCAGGAGGCCCCATTTGTTTAGCACCGGATGGTAATATTTATGGGGGATTCAAACTTGGCCCATTTCGCCAAGAGAAATTTGGATGATTTCTCAAATTTGGATTGTAAGTTTGAGAATAAGGGTTCCCTTGTGGTCTTCTTTGTGCATTATTCATATAATTGACTGTCTCCAAGGTGTATGGGCATTGATCAGAATGGTGTTCCTCATTACAATGGTCACAAGTGTATCCCGGAGCCTGAAGTGCATGAACTCTTGCAGCATTTCCTTTCTTAATCTGCAATTCCAGATTGTCAAATCTCTTAGATATTGCTTCAAGTTGCGATGCAATATCTCTTGATGATGAAGAACTAGGCTCCTTATGTCTCCCAGAACTTTGCCTTCTTTTGTTATACTGTTGCATAGTGCTAGATGCCACCTCTTCATACAGTTCATATAGCTCATTTACCTTCATCTTTCCGATTCCTCCGTTTGAAGCGGTATTCAGCATTGTCACTGTCTGATCATTCAATCCATTCCAGAAAGCTTCCATTAGAACATATTTCTTCTGCTCATGATTTGGACAATTTCTCCACATATCCTTAAATCTTTCCCAAGCCTCATAAAATAGCTCATTCGGATGCTACTCGAAAGAAAGCAACTCACCCCTTAATGTAGCACGTTTGCCCCTTGGAATAAATCTGGCCTTGAACTTAGATACAAGCTCATCCCAAGTCTTAATGGAGTGTTCAAGTAAAGAATTCAACCATGTTTTCGCCTTGGGAGATAATGACATGGGAAACAATCTCAATCTCAGTGCATCTTTAGTAACCCCAGTTTGTTTGAAGTTTTCACAAACCTCTATGAACTTGATCAAATGCTCATTCGGATCATCCTTAAAATTTCCTTCAAAAGTACCCATCATCCCCAGTAGTTGAATCATGATAGGTTTGATTTCAAAATTCCTGGCTTGAATATCTGGTAACCGGATACTTGAGTGAAAAGTCTGCCCTTCTTTATCCAAATAGTCATCCAGGGTGTACACATCGTTCTCATCTTGCTCCGCCATGTTTTCTTCTGATTCTGATTCAGGTGGCGGCGGCGGCGGTGGAAGTAACTGAGGTTGTTGTTGAATCTCCGGTGTGTTTTCAGTTTCTCCCGACCTGGATACTTCTTCAGTAACTTCTTCCACAATAACTTCCAGTCTTCCTTGCATGCGTCAGGGGTTACCTACACATTCAAATCAAAAACAAAAGTATCAAACTTATCAAGAGAAATGAATAAAATAAACTACTGCTACTACCTATAACTACTACAAATGCTAAATGGAACTTAAGCGTAACCAAGCACACAATAAGGACAATCAACCTCAAAAACTCTAGCCATTAGTCCTCGGCAATGACGCCAAAAACTTGTTCACCAAATAACTTGACCGCAAGTGGACGGGTCGCAAGTAATATAAAAAAGTATCGTTCCCTCAGAGACTAAGGCTAGATGAGTTGAAAAATCATAATTGTGTATTTGATTAGGTTAAGTGAAATAATTGTTGTAAAAGAGTTTGTGAAATGAAAGTTCAGAAACTAATGGTTTAAAGCAGTATAAAATCGAATCGACCTTGAAACAATTAATAGACTAGGGTTATTCTTCACTAAAGTACTTCATGAAACTGGATTAATTACTTCTCTAATAGTGTTTCACAATAAATTCAGTTAGCCTGGGTTTATGGAATTGATTAAGCTTTCTCAAGTCAAAACCAAATGTTGCAAACACCATTAAAACTCAGCAATCTCTTGCTTTTGTTTGAAAAGGTTGCTCTTTAAAAACCAAAACCCATTTAGTCTATGCTAGGTCAACAAATACATCTCTGATCAATCGACAAACCATCTATTCACTCAAATAAATTTCTGGACTAGCATGTTTTTACCTAAGTTCATGAATTAGTCTAACTTTCTCAAGTTAAACTAATCAACCAATCAATCCAAATGATGGCCAGACAAAAGGACACATTAAGCTCAAGGTAAAAACAACTGAATATTATCATTAACACTAAAGAGATAGTAAAACCCAAATCTCAATCCATACAATAGATCAAAATAACCCTAGAAAAACGGATTTAGCTATACATGGTAAGTAAAGAACTACAACTATAGGAATATCTAGTAGTCATAGCAGAAACAAGAAGGGAAGAAGAAGGAAACCCAGAAAATTTAAGATACAAGCTTTGAATCTCTTCAAGCTTCAAGCCCAAAAGTTCCAAGCCTCCAAAACTCCAAACCCTAGCAGAGCCAGCCTCCAAAATTGCTCTAAAAGTCGAACACACTCTAGAAAACCCCCTTCTCTCACTCTATATGCCCTAATTTTTTAAGTTAGGAAGTAAAACGCACAGCTGCGAGGGGCCAGGCGCCGCGGCGGATTGTTTCAGGCGCCGCGGCGACTATTACATAATGGATTGTCACTAAGGCACCGCGGCGCACGTGATAATAGGCCGCGGCGGATTTCACCGAACGGGTTGCTTCCTGATGTAGCTCGGGCGCCGCGGCGGATGCATCAGGGCGCTGCGGCGGATTTCACAGAGGCTCAGTCTTCCCTCTCTGTGTGATCCTCCACGGCGGATTCTTCCATAGGCTACGGCGGATGCTTCTTTTCAGCTCCTTCTCCATTCTTTACTCTCCTCAGGCTTTGTTTCCTGCAAAATTGACTTATAAACCCAATAAAAGAATGTTAAATCAGCTTAATTCAGTAGGAATTTTGAGAGGTTATCAGATACTTTAGGTGGAAAAAATTATTATTTTAAACTAAACCTGTTACGTTACAAAGCATGCTAGAGGTTCACTTCAAATTTAAAAACCATTAGTTTTAGAAACAAGACTAGTGAACTTTGTTGGTAAAAAAGGTGCAACTTCCCACAACTTTCTTGGTGTCTAACTGGAATCACAACTCCTTGCTTTCTCCAATCCATGGTAGCAGGCGGTGCACATGAGTCCTTCTATTAGACATAGCCGGAGCTCGAGGAAGCCGGCCCAATGGTGGCCGGCACCTACAGCGGACGGAGGTAGGTTTGCGTAAACTCCTCAGGACTCATACCAGCAAACTTGTTGAGGTCCAAACGATACCCAGATGGCGACTTGGATCTCTTAGCATTCGTTTCAGTAATATACTTGAGATTCCTTTGGAATATTTGGAATCTAGTGTTGCTCTCTTCAGAATTTGGGTAGATTCTTCCATGCTCCGCCGTCCATTGCTGGAACATTTCCAAGTCTTGTTCACCCTTTGAAGGGGAAGCTGATGATTCGTTGGGAGGGAATCCTGAAGAGAGACAGATCAGAATAGAACACCAGATCAAGGGAAAAAGGAACTGAGACATACTAGTGTAGAAAGATATACTTAGGGGTGTTCATGGGACGGGACGGGACTGGGACAGGCCCGTCCCAGTGAACAGGGACGGGACAGGGATTTTGTCCCGTGTCCCGTCCCGTCCCGGTCCTGTCCTGGTCCGTCAGTATCGGGACGGGACCAGGACGTCCTGCTTCCCTTTTTTTTAAAAAAAAAAAAGATACCATAATTTTTTATATAAATTTTTTTATGTTATAATACTTATTTTTTTATTGGGCTTTTAAAGATAAAACATTATAAAAAATATTATGTAGAAAGCTTAATTATATAGCATAAAAAGGTGTAAAAATAATAGTGTAAAAAAAATACCGTAAAAAAAACACTATATAATGACTTTATGAATTATTTTATTGAGGAAGGAGATTTTGTTGAGATAATACTACAATTTAAGAGCTACAAATCACCATAAAAATAAGAGTTATTATTAATAAGTAAATTGAATAATCTAATAATTATTATTAATAAATAATTTTTAAAAGAAAAAAAATTCCGGGACGGGACAGGACGACCCCGTCCCACGTCCCGTCCCGTCCCGTCCCGTCCCGAGCTCACTGGGACCGGGACGGGACAAATTGAACACCCCTAGATATACTTATTTTGCTGTTTCAGTTACTGAGAAATGACTTCAAAACAAGCTTACATGGAAGGAATTCATCCACGAGGTATTTATGGTATAAGTCTTGTAGAAGAAAACGACACAAGTGGAAGTCAATATTTTTTTTTCCCATTTGACTCATGATATTTGTTCACATTTTCCCGCTACTAGTCCTTTGATTTTATCATCAACTCGTTACCCATCCTTGACGTAGAAGAACATGATCCACATCCGTAATTGGTGCAATGTTAATGATCTTAATTATCCCGTTTTGAATACGTTTAGTATACAATTTGACATGTTTTAGCAATTTTCGTTGCATCAAAAAATCAGTGTCTTGTTCTATGTTACACAAGTCGCGGAGGCCTCAATTAAAGAAGCTAAGGTCACCGTGATGGCTTAAAGAGAAGATTTTTGTTAGTACCGTGGTTGTTTCTTTATGATGATTGAATCATCAGTTTGATGAGATTTAAACATGTAACCTCGTGACATTCAAGTAAATTGGCAATGCGTGGGACGCGGAGTAACCCAAAGGAGGGGATAAACACGATAATGACTCTAGTAATGAATTTAAGATACAAAAATACGAGGGTTCAAGTGACAAAAATATCCATAAATTATTTTACAAGGAGTTGCTGGATTTTTTTTTAGGCCAAACTAGCAATATTTTCTTTTCTTTATTTTTCGCTCCATTTTCCTCCGCTTCCCATCCCAATCATAAGATAGCAATTTAAACAGTTCAGATTTCATGTTTTATGAAATTCAAAATAAAATGTTAATTTTTTTAAAAAATTAAGTAAAGTTATACTACTAAATGTAACAATGATAATTTAAAACAACAATAAAAAAAATATCATAATATAAAATCTAGGCCATTCAAATTGTAAACTTAACGATTGAGATGAAAAGTGAAGGAAAATGGAGGGGAAAGGAAAAGCTGAGCAACCCATTATTTGGTTTGGTTAGGTCCACTAATCGAAAAGAATAACCAAAATGTACATATTTTAAACACTAAACCAAAACTAGACATTAGTCAGTTCAGTTATTCAGTTTACTCGGTTTTTGAGTCTTTTCTATTGTAATAAACTTTTCTACTTATTCATTATGTCAAGAGCCTACGTTAAAAATATTTCTGGGGATATACTGAAGATGCCATAGCAGCTCAACTAATACTGGGCTTCGCTATTGCTCGAGAAAAGGACAACACAAACGGTAAATATCTTCCCTATAAGAGGAAAAATCGCAATTACAAACCCTAAAATTTGAAGAACGCAGTTAGGGACCCGTGACAACTTCACTATGGCTTTTGACAATAATAATATGTCATGAAGTTGTCAAAACCTATAATGAAGTTGTCACGGATCCTTATCTGTATTTTTCAAATTTCAAGGTCTTTTTTTGCGCTTTTTCCTATAAAAATCCAAGGATTCCATGTGCAGCTTTATTATTTAAATCCTGGAACAAAATGAAATACACACACATGTATACATATCCAAAGCCAGATATTTCACGGATTTAAGGAGAAATCAATCTTGGGCTTGACTGCGAGGAGATGGAGTGGAGATTGGGATGTGGTGAGGAATTTATGACATAATTTGGTTACTCGGTTATAATCGAAATTCATTTAGCACACTGAATTGAACATCGAAAACCGAAAAAAATTTGAAACAAAAGCTTCAAAAAAAAAAAAGCCGAACACTGAATTAATCAAGCCGATAAAACCAAATTAAGTTCAGTTTGGTTTGCTTTTGTTCCCCACTAAAAAATAGACCCTTTCCCTTTGAGTCCCTCCCTTGTGCCATGCACAACGCCCTCCCCAAAGCCCATCATGATACTAAATTTATTGTCATTGGTCCTATTTATAAGGTATAAGTAGTACTCTTTTTGTCCTACTCATACGTCACATTGTTAATTTTTTTTTTATGTTGGCAAAAAAGTCATTAAATTCTTAATATACTATTTTACTCTTCATGTATTATGTTGTGCATATTACTTTTTTTTTTTTTGGTTCAAAAGGTTTATATTAAATAAGGATGGAAACCACTTGCATTAGTAGCAGAATTTGCTTGAAGCTTCAACTTTGTGCATGCTCTGAGGTTTTTTCGTAGCAGACCTCTAGATCACAACAAGCATTATCTCACTAGATGGGGTTGGCGAGGTGATCTGTAGTTTCAGCAGCGACAAAAGGTCACAATTGAGGAATTGCAAATTGCAATTGCTGTACTAAGGTGCCCAATGCACACGTGATTTTTGATAGTACGAGGGGTGTCCCCCTAAAGAACACTTCAAGTGAAATTGCTATGTTTTAAAAACTTTTGATGCCCGACCTGAACTATGAATAACATGCCTCGTGCTCCGCTGAGCCATCATCATCAAGGTGTCAGTTGGGCTCAATTTACAAAGAGAAACGTATCAATAAGCTAGATCCATGCTTTGAGTTGTTTCATACCATAAATAAATCCGAACACTCGGTGTTTTGGCAATTCCTCCCATGTGTTGTTTCATCTCAACATATAATTAACAGTGTCAGTGTTCACCGACAGCCGATGAGTTTGGGGCTGGAACGGGCGCGGATTGTTCAAGGATATTTCATCATTTCTAAATATCAAAGATTTGAAACTTTGGCCTATTTTTTAGAGCTGATTGATATTTTCATAAAATTAAGGATGCCAGCGATTCCTCCTAGAACACTTTCCGCATATTTCTGTCACTTTAAACTCAATATTTTATAATTTTATAAATCTACTATTAGAGTCATCATAATCATGTTTACCCGCCCCCTCTTTTGGGCTTCTCCGCGTCCCACACGCATCGCCAGATTGGATTGAACTGTTGATTTCATTGTTCTAAGCAATAATAGTGGCGTGTGTAACGTTGAAGACGACAAAGATTTCTTTGGTCAGCTTATAGGAAATTTTATCCCACAAATACATGCCTCAGGTCTTTAATATAAGAGCTACTTAACTAAACTGAATAGATTAAGCAAATTAGTTAAATTAGTTATTTGTAACAAATATGATTGGCTACTCATGAATAGAACCCCTTGGTATGTATAATTAACAAATTTGGAGCAACAAAATAAATTAGAGTCTTATATTTAGAATCAAATGTAATTTTTAACTAGCTCTTATATTATGGACAGGAGGTAATATTTGTTGTTTAGTTGTAATAAGAACGCGGGAGTATTAAGGATGCCGTAAGGAGGACACAGGAGAGAAACAGCGTTGACATATAAAGTTGCCTGATATATGGGTTATGTCTTTTTTTCAAAGCTAACAGACTCCTGACTCTAGAGAATAAACAATAGCCTTGATTCTTCCTCAACTTCCAAAATTATTGACCAATATGTGATCCGATCATCAAAATGGCCAGTCATATTGAAACAATCACGGCGCTGAGATGCACACACACATATATGTGCTTTATACATAAAAGTCGTCTTCCCCCCCCCCCCCCGCCCAAAAGTCTCTTCTCTTTAATTGAGGCTTCCGCGACTTGCGTAACATGGAATAAGACACAGAATTTTTTTCACCAGTTTATCTGTAACAATTAACTAAAAACTGTTTGCTTTTTCATTCGACGAAAATTGTTAAAACATGTCAAAATCTATGCACCAATCAATTCCATGCTAAACTTGAGATTATTAACATTGCACCAATTACGGACGTCGAACATGTTCTTCTACGTCGAGGATGGGTAACGTGTTGATGGTAAAATCAAAGGAATAGTAGCGGGAAAATGTGAACAAATATCATGAGTCAAATGAAAAAAAAAATGTTGACTTCAATTTGTGTTGTTTTCTTCTACAAGTAACAAGAATTATACTATAAATAATCGTGGATGAATTCAATTCCATGCAAGCTTATTTGAAGTTTCATTTCTCAGTAACTGAAAGAGCAAAATAAGCATGGCTTTCTACCCTAGTATGTTCCAGTTTCTTTTCCCCTTGATCTGGTGTTCCATTCTGATATGTCTCTCTTCAGGATTCCCCACTGAAGAATCCGTTCTCCCTTCAAAAGGAGAACAAGAGTTTGGAATATTCCGACAATGGATGAAGGAGTATGGGAAAAAATACCCAAACTCTGAAACCGCCGAAACCAGATACCAGATATTCCGCAAGAATCTCAAGTATATCGAAGAGACAAATGCCAAGAGATCTGGGTATCGTTTGGGACTCAACCATTTTGCTGATATGAGTTCTGAGGAGTTTAAGAGAGTATACCTCCGTCATCTACCGACACCGAACACGAACAACTCTGCCGCCGCGAGGTCCGATTTTGTACTGCAAGTGGACTCCTGTACACCGCCTGCTTCTGTGGATTGGAGACAGAGAGGAGTGGTGACTCCAGTTAAAAACCAAAAGAGATGTGGTAAGTTGCCTTAGCTCAGATTAATTGGTAGCATTAATTTTCTCTGGAACCTGAATGGACCAATAATGGATTAATATCTGATGGTTCATAGGAAGTTGCTGGGCGTTTGGAACCATCGGAGCTATTGAGTCAATAAACGCAATACGCACAGGGGAACTTGTTTCTCTCTCAGAGCAAGAACTCGTAGATTGCGACTCTGTAAGCGATGGTTGTTCAGGTGGATACACCAAAAGTGCCTTTGAATGGGTTATAAAAAATGGTGGAATTAGTGAAGGAGATGATTATCCTTATACAGCTCGAAATGGTATTTGCAAAGCTAGCAAGGTTCGTTTACTCTCCCTCTCTCTCTGTGCCACTATAACATTGATGATATCTTCTGTGCGTCTAATATATTTGAGATTTCTTATATGTGTTTGTTAAGCAAAATGGAGGCAGAGTGGTGAAAATTAACAGCTATGGGAAAGTGCCTAAATCAGATGCGGCTCTCTTATGTGCCGCTGCTCGGCAGCCTGTTACGGTGTCGTTGGATGCAACATTTCTTCAACACTATCGGGATGTAAGTCTTTTTTTTTTTTTACCCCCCTCTCCTCACCCAATCTTTAGTCTGTGTTGCTTATTTGGTTTTATTATTGGAAAAGTCCCAATTAAATCCAACGGAAATACTTAAATTCAAATTTAGGCCTATCCTTTTAACAAATTCCTAATCAAGACATGAGAGCTAATTAGGGATTACTAAATTTTGTTAAATGACGATAATGCCGCTTTTTATTTAAAAATGAAAATTGATTATATTATCTCTCTAAAGTGGTTCATTATCTCTTATGATTAATATTTAGATAAAATAAATAAATAATTTTTCAGTGGTGAAATTTTGCATATATGACTAAAAACCTTCAAAATATTTTCATAAAAAATTTCAAATTATAATATAAGTAGTCCTTAAATAAATATTTTTTATTTTCAAGTTGCAAACATTTATTTTAAGATTTTAAAATATTTTAATTATAATCAATATGTAATGTTAATTTGAAATAATTTGAGTTTTTGGTTGGATCCAACATTGCTTAAATAAATAAAACTTATGTACATTACAAGAACTGAAAATAAAAAATATTTATTTAAAAAAAGGTTACTTATATTTGTAATTTAACATGTTTTATTAAAATATTTTTAATAGTGTAAGTTATATATAAAAATTTCAAACATTGTAAAATTACTTATGTGTTGTTTGGTCTAAAAAAACATAAGAGATGAAGGATCACCTGGGAGAGGTAAATAATCAATTTTCCTTTTTAAATAAAGAAGAGTATTCTGATTATTTAACAACATTTAGAAATCCATGATCGGGTCTCATGGTCTAATTAGGAATTTGCTGAAAGTGTAAGCCTAAATCTGAATTTAAGTATTTCGGCTGAATTTAATTAGGATTCTCTCTTTATTATTCTACTTGATTATTTTATTGAATTGATCTTTTGGGGTTTTCTAATATATATAATCTTTCTTTAATTTGTCTCCAAAAATTTGTGGGTATAATTTAATCTTTGAACTGTAGCGCACAAAGTAACGACAATGACATAATTTTTATGATACCTGATCATGTGATAATTTTTTTTATTATCAAATATCAATTATATATGGTTTTGAATTTTTTTCCAAATTACTTTTATTGTATTTTGTTAGGGAATTTTCGATGGAGGGAATTGCGAAAAGGATTCAACTTACACGAATCATGCAGTTTTGATTGTTGGATATGGTTCAAAAGATGGAAAAGATTATTGGATTGTTAAGAATTCATGGGGAGAAAATTGGGGAATGGACGGATACTTCTTGATGAAGAGGAATACAGACTCACCAAGTGGAGTTTGTTCTATCAATACCAAGGCTTACTTCCCCTCTATATAGGCTTCTGCATTAGCTGCCAAATCTATAGTCAATCTCCCAGTTTCATATTGTGATTAACTCAAGTCGGTATTATAAAGTTTAAAGAAGAAGTCAAGAAGTATTAATTAACTATATATAGTAAAATATGCTATTTTTATTTAGATTTGTTATCATGCAATTATAATAATTACAGTCAATTTAGATTTGCACCTGATTGGTGATCTTATCGTTGAACATTGACTCCACTGGCTCAAATAACGCCAATTGGTGGGATTAATTGCTGTTCTGCGCATGACCACATGGCACATAGTGTAATGCAAAGTATACGTGGGTTGACTCAACAGCAATGGATTTCAATCACAGATAATTAATGATGATTCCATCTTATTCAAAACATAGGAGCTAAATAAATAATTTATGAATATTAATAAATTTATTTAAATGAGTTTTTTGAAAATAAATGAATATTGGTTTCTCTAAAATAATTCTTTAATTGTAGCCTCTATTTATAGACACTCCTTTTGATATATATATATATATATATATATATAATTTAAAGGGTTAGTTTGAAAAAAAACTTATATAATTGAGAGGCCGAACAGATTAAGATATTACATTCATGATCAAAGTAAACCCTTTAACTACCTCATAAGGAAGAAGGAATAATATTAGTTGATGGCCCTTTCCAAGTATCATCCACGTGAATAACGATTATTTTCTTTAGACTGGCTCTAAATTATTATTTTCTTTCATACGTAGAATTATATGCCCTTGCTTGGATTGATTCCATGAAAAGGATCGCATGTAATCCTAATTTTTTTAAAAAAATTATGGAAATGTTTGGTTAGACTTTTGTGATGGAAAGCAGGCTCCATTTTGTGATGCTGCTTAATTACCTAAAATAGCTGTATTAGAATTACACTGTTGAGACATATAAATAGAGATGGAGACCTCAATCCAGTGCAAAAGACGCTTCTGCTTATTTAATATAATACACATAAATATACAGTTTTAGTTCATAATATGTGCATAGACAGGACAATTTTATCTTTTAATTTATTATTTCTATTTATTCACACAATGTTTGTGATCTATTCACACATTCTTTGTAATCTAATCTATTTTGTCTCTCAAATTTATAATGTATTACTTAAAATATTCCCATTGATTATATATATTAAGGAGTTTTCATCCAAAACAAGTAACGATCTATTAAAAAGAAATTTTGAAGAAATCAGCCCATATTTATTACAAATAATTAACTTAAACTAATTTTTCTAATTAATCTAAATTAGTTAAGTAGCTCTTATATTAGACACTTGAGATAGTATTCTCTTCCTTTTTTTTAGCCTGTGAATCTCATTCCCTTTATTTTCAATATAAAATTTGCTACACATACTCTAAATGAGAAGTCAATTTCTTGTTTTTTTAAAAGACGATAGGCTCTTGACTCTCTAGTCAATATATCTTGAATAAATATCTATCGACTCACTACTCAATAGTCAATAAATTGAAAAATATCAAATACACATTAAACTAAGGGAGAATTACAATAAGGTTCTGAGGAAGAAAAATAATTATTAAATAGATCTCAATAACAGTCTAAATAACTTGTAACAACAAATCCTAGAGTGGAAAATGATAACTTTTAAGACTTATTTTGTAATTATTGTATTTTGAGACCTCATTCTAATTCTCTCTTAATTTAATTTTCCACGCATGTTTGGACTTCCACTATGCACATGTTAGCGTTCTTTGACAGTCGGTCTGTAACAAATTAAATTGAAATGTAGTTTTCAGTCACATATTCTATTACCCTCATTCCTAAATATAAAAACCAGTAGAAAGACTTCATTTAATTTTAAATATAAGACCACAATCTATTTTGTTTCCTAAATTTATAATTTTTTTTCAAACCCTCTTTACACATATCAGGGGCTATTCATGAAGAGGTAGTTTACAATGCAAACCAGCGCACATATTTTCACTAATAACTAACTAAAAAGATTTCTTAATCAATTATAAATGAGATAACCCGGACAACAATTTTCATTCCTTTTGCTTCCGTGGGTCATACCCACACTATTAATAATAATAAAATGAATATTCAATCCAAAAAGATAATACTACCTCCGGTCTTTAATATAAGAGCTGGTTAACTAATCTAAGCAGATTAAAAAAATTAGTTATGTTAGTCATTTGTAATAAATAAATGTTATCTTCTCTAAGAGATCCTTGCTAATCGGGTGTTATTTGATAAAACATTTAATATTTGCAACTACTAGAAGAATAACCTTAGAAAAATAGATAAATACAAAATATACTAGGGTTTTGTATTTAGGAGCAAATTGAAAGTCAAGCCAACTCTTATATTAAAAATCGGAAGTAGTATATGTGAGCGCACGCATATATATATATATAGTAATTAAGAAAAAGGTGATATCCAACAATACCCATATATCTTCGTCCAAAATTTATATCCCTATTCCGTAAGGACTAAATGCTGGAATGAAAATTTGATAACAGCCAAATAAAATATATAGTAGAAATACTACCAAAACATCGTATTACTTCCATCCTAAGTTGGGGCAATTCTGGAAGTTGCCTAAAATTAGAAACTCCCAAATGTGTATTGAAGGTAGAAAAAAAAATGTCTACAACCATATTTGGGGATCAATTATGGTAACAAATGAAATAGTCTGAAAAAAAAATTATTTAACTTTTAGAGTTTTGGTTAATTAAGTTATAATTAGGCAAAACTAGTTATGACATATACTAAGAAGAAGACTCAAAAATAAGGGAAAATTATTTTAAGATTAAAATGAATTTATAAAAATGATTTCATGATTTAAAAATGTTGACTCATCAAATTTATTGGGTGGCTAAAGTCCGTTTAGATCTAAAAATATGAAATTGATTATATTAAAATTTTGTGCATATTTTGTCGAAACATTTAATTGCATATAAATTCATGAGTTAGCATTTTGCATTAAATGAGACCAATTGTATCGAGATTAAAAGACTAAAACACTTTATAAACTTAAAGGACTAAATTAAAATTCAATATAAACTATAATTGCATGTAAATTCTTGGGTCATTACACTCTGTTTCTTTTTGCAACTTGATTTTATTAAGAAAACCCCTTTTTATTTCATTTTTAAAAAAAAAAATTGGTCAATCCTTGTGGAGTACGACACTGCTCACCCTATATATATAATAAATATTATTGAGTGTAGAATAAATTCAATTAATGATGATAGATTGTTCCTAAAATAAGCCTTCCAGAAAATTCTATAAGATAACTCATGATATAATGAGGTTAATCATTAAACAATTTCATCTCGATGCTGGGTAAGAAACCAAATGGAAAAAAAATTAGGAGAATGTTTGGATTAACTTTTCAGTAGCAATTTTACGGTGTTCGAGGTCAATAAGAGAAATTTTGTTTTCATTTACATGAATTTTTTTTTAAATTGATTCTGGGAGTGCTTGGCATCAAGTAAAAACACTTGAAAAAAGTGCTTTCCATAAGAAACAGCAAATTAAAGGCACAACGCATTCCCTCAGCGAAACAAATCCAATTAGCCCAACACAACTTAAATGTCTTGGTCTTTAACATATGGTACAGCTCGAGGGTGAATCTGGACGGGATCCGTATTTTGCTGCCAGAACGCAAAGCCACCATGCCATTGTTGGGACTTTCTTCTTCAGGCAGATTTTACTGAATTCTTCGTAACTCATGTCTGATAATTGATTCAGCCCCAAAGTATAGCTATCTCCTTTTGCGTTATGCTCTCTGATTTCCTTCAACGTGGTTTTGAAATTATATCTCTGTGTCTCCTCTTTTAGGGTTTTGTATTCTCGTTTATGATCCTTCTTCCGCTCTTGAAAGAGACGGTAAACTTCTTCGTCAGAAGGATCTACGCACATTCAAAACAGAATACTTATCAGAACACTAATCCCCAATTTAAATACAAATTCACTATTTGAGAACATAAATATGTAGATTGAAAGGAAAAGGACGATTCAAAGCACATGAACAAACCTGCTCTTTCGGAAGATGGAAATCATAGCGATTGAATCTGTAACCACAACGCCATGCCCAAAAAGAGTGGAATTAGGGATTTAGGAGGCGAGAGAACCTGCTGAAACTGAGAGGCGATTACCGACTGCCGCGGCGAGGGCTGAGCTGGTTTTATATACGTGAGGAATTTTTTTTTTTTTAAACAAATCGGAGGTGGGACCATACTGGCCCTAGTAGTATTAGGGCCAATCTGAAAATTTGGGGGGAAAGAAATAATTGCCAACAGAAGAATTTTTACTAAAACAAGGAATATAAATAGAGTTAGAATTTATTAAAATACACAAACATATCAATTAATCATCATCAATCAATCAGTCAACTTTATCCTTAAAATCTTCTAATATTCAGGAAGTATTTGGCAAAATTTAAGAAAAGCACTTTTGAAGCCCAAACTAAGGTTTAGTCCAAAAAAAAAATCCAAACACTCCATAATTTTTTAAAACCATGGTTTTGTCATGAAACCATGGTTTCACCATAAGCAAATTTTTTTTGCTTTTTAAATCAATCTGGTCAGCAAAATTTTTGGCCCCATTATTGTCAGCGTCAAAACTTCATGCCTTCACCTTTCTCCTCCTTTCTCCTCCCTCATTCTTGTTGTTTTTTTTCACCAATTCTCCTCCCTCATTCGACAGTTGATTTTAAGGTAAAATAATATTTTTCTATTGAAAAATATTCATCTTTCTAAAAACATATTTAATCTTATATATTAACAATTAATTAATTATATTTTTATACATTATTTATTATGTTGGCAAAAAAAATAACAAATTTATTATTCTGGTCATTAATGTAGGAACTAATTGAGAAGTTAATATTGATTCTAAATATAAGACATATTTTATGTGATTATCAATTTTTTTCACATTAACCCTATTGATGTTCCCTCAACAATAATCAAATAGGAAATAGAGAAAGGGAATTAAAAAAGATGCTCAAGATGTTTTAGAAAAAAAATCATATTAACTAATTCAACTAACATTCTTAATTTACTCGCATTAGTTAATTAGATCTTACATTAAAGACTAGAAAAAACTTCAAAAAAAATAAAAATAAAAATATATCTTTTATGTAATTATAATATTAACTCATATCTTTCATGATAATTTGGACTTAAAAAAATATTTCCGATGACAACTATCC